TTGATATTTTAATTCTCTTACAAGGAATGGTGTTTAGAGAAATGACTTAACCGGATTACTCATCGTCTATAATGACTTGGCCGGACTCCGAGGCTATTCCTAGACGTGACGCTTGAGGCTTTGATTCTTTCTCTCTTTTCTTTTGGTCTTTTTTTTTTTTCTTATTACCAAGAAATTACGGCCTCGCGCACGCGGCGGTCCGGCCCCTGCACGGCCCCCCTTGCACAGCATCCTGGGGGTTGTAGTTCACTCCTGGCCCCGGCGGGGCCCCACCTCGCTTAGTGCCTCTCAGGCGCCTTGGCTCCAACCTCATTTCTTCCTACTGCGGGGAGCTGGGCCCCTGGCTAGCAGAGGTCTTTTACTCTCTGCATGCCTCAGTTTGCTCATCTGTCAAATGGGCGGGACAGTCCTACAACATAGGACTGAAGGGTCAGCTGAGATCTTATTTTAAGCAAAAACACCACACAGGTCCCACTTTTAAAAAATTGCTTGGAAGGTACCTGTAGCTCAAAGGAGTAGGATGCCGGCCTCATATGCTGGAGGTGGCGGGTTCAAACCCAGCCCTGGCCAAACACTGCAAAAAAATAAAAAATTGCTTGTTCAGAGCACTTTGCACTGACTTTGGGTCTAGACTTACACCAAGCTTTAGTTATCCTGATGCCAGACTGTTCCTACCTTGTTCTTTACTGTTTGTGGGTGAGCCTATGAACTTGTCTAGCACTCACTCTCCGGTTCTCAGCTACATATGGGGATAAATAATATAATGCCCAGTTCATAGGGCTGGGGTGATAGTAAATGAAATCATCAGCGTAGCGTGTTTGCCACATTGTCTGACAGAGTACACTGGTCAAAGGCATTTTCACTGCACAGGAGTTGGCTCAGTAACTGATTGTGAGTAACTGTCCGCAGCCTATGAGGTTGGCAAGGGCTACATCTTTTGCTCCGTAAGGTTAGGAACTTTGTTCTGGCAGGTTTATGTCCTGGTGTCTAGCGCAGTGCTGGTACATAGTCAGATCACAGACTACATAACACATATTGGAAGAGGAGATGAATGAACAAATGAAACATTATCCCCACTTTCCAGTTGAGGGACCTGACGCTCTGAGAGATTAAGAGATACAGCTGGGCTGTGTCTGAGTGGGGATGAAAACCCAAATTTCATCTCTGCCCATTCGCACCTAAGAGTATTCAACTTTCACCCTTCAGGCTCAGTAAGTTAAGAATCTTGGGTTTCTAGTTGCTGGGATCTGGTGAGGAGGGATAGGGTCGGCAGGCTCACCCAGCCCAGCACTAGCCCAACAAAGGAAGTGTTCCAGATTCCACTGGGCTTAGAGGGAACCTATAGCCAGGTACAGCTGTGGCTCCCCATCTGGATGAAACTCAGAAGCTAGTCATGCCCTGGGGATAGTGACCAAAGCTCTTTCAGACAGGAGTTGTTGACCCTTGCAGATCTGGGGCTCTGATCACTACCCCAGCACTACCACCTCCCCACTCCTTCACCCCTGACTGTTCCCCAAAGGCCAAAAGCTATTCTTGTCTTTTTCTAAAACAGGCATTTGAAACCATGAGCCAATTTTTTCCATTCCTGAGCTTGGGTATCATCTATTTTGGGCATTTGTTGTTTTCCATGAGTTGCAAATGCCACTGTGAAGCCTGCCTTTCCTGGACAGCTAGCTAGGGGGGGAGTGAGGTGGGGCCTTCGTTAAAAATACTTCCCGCTTCATTTCTCCTTTGAAAACAAAGCCCTGGGGGCCTTTGGCAACTGTTGAGCCTGGGAACTGAGCTTCCCAGGGCAGAAAATTGGCTGAGTATTTTGTTTCCTGAGTGAGCTGGATGAGCTTGAAGGTCCCAGAAGAACAGCACTGACTTTGCCATGTGACTTTGGGCAATTCACTTAACCTCTCTGAGCCTTGTGGCCTTCTCTCTAAAATGAGAGATGATCTTGACAGATGATCTTGAATAGTCCTTACAGTTCTGAGAGCTCCAGGAAACAGCCCCTGGGCCAGATTTTCTTTCTAGAAATGGGCCAACAAGAAACGCTAGGACATGGGGGTGGGAATTAGAAGGCAGCTTTTATCTCAGTCTCTGGGAATACTTTGTGAGTTCCAGAGTCTTGTAAGTGTTCTAAGAGGGACGAGAATGTTCTCGTCAGGATTCATGTCGTCACAAAAAGATTAAGTGCCATTAAGAAAGGATTAAATATACTGTAGGTAGTTTTACAGGAAGGCACACAGCCCAGCAGTTACAAGAGAAGCCATCGGCTCGGTGCCTATAGCTCAAGTGGCTAAGGTGCCAGCCACATACACAAGAGCTGGCAGATTCGAATCCAGCCCAGGCCTGCGAAACAATGACAACTACAACCAAAAAGTAGCCGGGTGTTGAGGCGGGTGCCTGTCGTCCCAGCTACTCTGGAGGCTGAGGCAAGAGAATCGCTTAAGCCCAGAAGTTGAAGGTTGCTGTGAGCTGTGATGCCACAACATTCTACCCAGGGGGATAACTTATAACTTGAAGCTCTGTCTCAAAAAAGAGAGAGAGAGAGAGAGAAGCCATCTGTATTCTAACAAGGATCAATCTAACAAGGAAAGATCTATTGTTGGTCAAAAAAGCAAGTTTCAGAATGAAACAATCAGAATTGTGTTATTTGTTTAAACACATGTGTAAAGCAAAGCTACATATTTTTTCTACACCTTGGATACATATATTTATGAAACTATCTAGAGAACAGTTATAGAAGACTTTACCCAATCTGACAATAGTCCTTACCTCTGGGACCAAGAGGGAACTGGATTTGAGTAGCATCAGAAGACTGATTTAATGTTTTTACAGAAAGAATGTGTTTACTTAGTAGTGAGGGTTAGTTTTGCTAACTGAGACATGCAGACAACCAAGACATTGAGGGGCTGTGTGATATCTCTCAGGCATCCTGAATGGGATCCTGTGGTTGAAGGATGCAGGAGGAGAGTGGCTGTGGACAGAGAGGAGGTGTGTGAGATAGAGAAAGTTGAGCAATGGAAGTGTTTATGCTTTTAGGAAAGCAAATGGAGATATCTTTCTTGCACAGGATTTATTGGCTGTTGTAAATTACTTTCTATTGCAAATAGTTGCCTCAGGAGGCAATTAAATTTAGATCATATTGTTCCCAGGTTGGCACAGGCAGGTGTTGACTTGCTGAGGCTTTGCACAACAGCTACTGTCTGTAAGAGTGTGCCCAGCTGCCTGGATGGCAGAATAACTCTATCCTGTAGCAGGATGAGATCCTGCTTTGTTAGTGAGTTTCTCCTCAGTGGGATATGCAACCCAGGAAGGAGGGATTGGCCTAGATTTTGACCCCGAGCACAGCATCTTCATATCTATCCTTAACCTTGGCCATAGTGCTTGATCCCATCAGTGCTTATAAAATGGACAAAGGTGTAATTAGAAGCTGGTTAAGCTTCCTGGTAGCATTCCATAGTAGTCTCCAGCCATGGCCTTAGCTCCCTGGAGGGGAGAGTGGCTTGTAAACTAGGGAGTGGGATGCACTGTCACATTAACTGTTATAATGAGTGCTTGGGGCAGTTACTAAATATTGATAACAATGTGTCTAGCACTAAATCTACAGGTGCTGACTCTTACAAACCAACCCATTATGAGGTAGACCACAGATTTATTCTGCAGAGCTCAGTGTTTGATTTGGGCTGAGCTTGCAGAGATCTTCCATCCCAAAGTCAAAGGGTAAGGGCCAGGGTTTCAGGTTCACCAAACTGCAGCCCTGGTCCATCTGGTTAGTGTGAAAAGAAACACCAGCGTGAAGAGTGGGCAGTGATGGGTGCAGACTGGGCAGGGGGTCAGGAAGGGGTTGGTATGAGGAAAGGCTCCACTTCTGGAGCCCAAATTCCTGGGCTTAGTTCTGACAGCATCACCTGCCAGCTCTCAGACCTCAACTTTACTCTATACAATGAGAAGAATGATGATGTGAAATGCATAGAGCTGTTATGACTATTATAATTAATGAGACCAGGTGCAGTAGTTCACACCTGTAAATTCTAGTGCTTTGGAAGGGCAAGGTGGCAGAATCACTTGAGCCCAGGAATTTGAGACTAGGCTAAGAAAAATAGCAAGACTCTATAAAAAATAGAAAAATTAGCTGAGCAGTGTGTTGCACGCCTGCAGTCCCAGTTACATAGGAGGCTGAGGTGGGAGGGCACTTAAAATCCTTGTCTCTGAGATAGCAGTGAGCTAAGTTATGATGATGCTACTGCGCTCTAGCCCAGGTGACAGAGCTTTCCCTGTGTAGAAAAAAAAAATTAACAAAACTTTCTGTATGCCTACCATGGGCTAGGAACAAGGTTCAAGTCCCAGCTAGGCACTCACTAAGACCAATTCCCTAAGCCTCAGTTTCCCCCACTGTGGCCTGCACATGGAAGAGCAGGCCGGAAGTCCAAGTCACTGCTATGGCTGGCTCTGGACCTCCTCTTGTTTCCACTCACCCGAAATCTCACCTCACCTCTCTCAGCTGGGGTGCTTAGCTTTAGGTGCCACTCTCTGCCTGCACGTATGGGCATGCCTGGGACAGCAGGCATTTCTGGGAATCTACAGTCTAGGCAAGGACTAGTTTGGTTCTTGTTTAGCTAACACTCTCTCCTATACTGGGTTGGTGGGAGTTGGGAAATGCTCAGGGGCACTTTTAAGTCAAAGTAAGAAGCATTTTGTTCACCCCATCCAGTCCTCAGTGCCCTGCTGAAAGCAAGTAGGATTTTTTCAAGGCTGTAGTTCTGTGTCTAGGGAAACCAAGGCACAAAGCAACAGTGGGTGTCCTGCCTCAGGCCCTGTAAGTGAGGAACCTATTCCAAAAGTACTGTCTTTAAGCCGGGGCAGGAAGGGTGCACTACAACTTCCAGAGATCACCGGGCTCAGGGGGCGGTCCCTGCTCCTAGCGAAGAACTGGGTCCACCAATGAGAGCCCAGGGAGGAGCGGGGAGGGGCCGTTCCCGGGCGGGGCGGAGCTGCGGGGAGGCAGCCGGCGAGCGCCGCTGCCAGGCAGTAGAGTCGAGAGTGCTGGGTCCGGAGAGCCGCGCGGGTGGAGGGTCTCAGGGCGGGCGCCGCGGGACCTTGCCGGGCCATGGGTAAGCAACACTGCGGCCCGGCCCGGGACAAGGGTTGGCGGCCCTGCTGGGAGGGCGCAAGTATCCGCACTGGGTGTCGGCCAGCCCTCTTGTCAGTCGGTGCGGTTTTGGGGGGCGGAGAGGGTCCTGAGGTGGGCTCCAGGGCGAGGGCGCCGGGGAGCGAGCCCTCCCCGGGGCGCCAGCTCCCCTCACCCGGGCGGGAGGGGTAAGGCTGGATGTCTGCGCGCGCTCTTCGAAAAAAGGAAAGATAAAAAGTTTTAGTGGTCAGGGGCTTCCCAGGCGTTTATCTCGAAACTCTTTTCGCCGTCTCTTGCCTGAAATTTACCAACCCCTGTACGGTTCTGTCATCCCACTTCCTGCTGCGGTTTCAATCTCGAGCTGGTCTCAGCTAATTTGTTGTGACAGCTGTCAGCAGCAGTTTCCCTGTCTCCCAGCCCCCTCCCTCAGCCCCCGTGACATCCCCGTGGGTTCTCAGAAGCCGCCGGCGCCGTCGAGAAGAGGCGCCGGGTCGGGTGGGCGCGCGCGGGGCGCTTTCCACTGCGGCCGCCGTTTCCTGAAAGGGACCGCGCGGGTTTTGAAGAACTTGCTCAATGCGCTTTGAAGAATCAACTGTTCCTCTTTCGGCCGAGGGATGTGCCGATCTTTTGGCGGTTGCCAGCTTCTCGCTCGTGCCCCTTCTTCTCTTTTCTTTTCCCTCTTCTCTGGTCTTTCCCTGCTTGTCTCCTGTCCACCCATCCCAGCCCCTGGCTTCTCTTTTTGCTCTGCTCTCTTTTGTCTGTCCTCTTCTTTTCCCTCGGGTTTCCAGAAGGGACGGGGTGGCGGCCTGGGAGTGAAGCGGGAAGATAGAGCAGAAGCGCAAGCTGCGAGTGTGTGTGCAAGGAGGTGTTCGGCTTAGCGTTCAGCAGGTTCTACGGGCGCAACCCGTGCGCGGCGCGTGTCGGTCCCTCCTCCGTGCCCAGGGGTCGCCACCACGCTGGGGTCGCGCCACCCTCCACTACGCACGGCCGTAATGGGGCTTCCCGGAGGCAGGATCGAGGCGGGCCCTGACTTGGCTCTGGCCCAGCCCAGCGTCCCTTTGTTTGGGGAGTCTTGGGCTGACGGGGAGGGGTCTGCGAGGCCTAGGGGAATATAACAGGTGCTTCTTGGCCCCACCAGATTCTTGCTGTTGGAAACTGGGGTCTCTGACTAAGGCGGAGGAAGAGGGTTGGGAGATGGCAGCTGAGGGTCCAGCCACGAAGGTTCAGAGTCTATTCTGGGTCCCAAGACCTGGCATGGCAGCGTAGAAAGGGCCTCAGAAAATCTGTCTCTACATTTGGGTAACATCTTAGACAAATCTTTCAATATCTTTGAGTCTTGTTTCTCCAGAGGTGGAATGGGAACATAGGAAACAATCAGAGCGACCTATTATGTTATCATCAAATATTAGCTAGAGTTGGTGGGGGAAGGTTCAGTCCCATCCTGGAATAGGATCTTTTAAGGCATCCATCCCAGAGCTGGGTAAACAGACAGGGAGCCCCAGGAGGTCTTGGGAGTTGGGCCTCTCACATTTGGCGACCCCTCCAACTCCCATCCCTTTCTGTAGCTTCTGAAGGCTCTTATCTTGGCCCCCATTACTTTAAGACTGTCCCCTCCTTTCTCCCCTAGCTGTGTACTGAGGCTGGGCTTTGGTGTGAGCTGCACCCTACATCCTGGTTTAGAGGGGGTCCCATATTCAGCTCCTCTGTCCTCACTGCTGGCTGCATCACAGCCCCTGGCAGGTCCCTCCTCCCCAAACAACCCACTGGAGCAAGCTCCACGCAGAGACTCCACCAGGCAGCCAGCTCTGGGCCACGGAGTGGACTGGCTGCTTCAAAGGCCTTCTTTGTTTCTGCTCCAGCTCAAGCTTGGAGAAACTTAAGCCAACAACCTCAGGCGAGGGGGTGGGGCAGTGTCTGCTGGTTGTTATTGAGGCTGCTGTTACCATTATTGTGGTAATTGACGCAGTGTTCCCAGTCAGTGACTTTTCATGAAAGGAAGTGTCACTTCCTTCCCATCACAGGAGGGTGAGTAGGGCGGGCAAGAGAAAGGGGTGGGGAGCAGGCCCATAAACTCAAGGCTCTGGGGCCTTGGACTAGTCAGAGCCCCTCTCTGAGCATTAGGGGCATATAAGGTCAAGTGTGTTTATCCCGCGTCCATGAGGCTGATGTTTCTAGAGCACCTGTGTTGGGGGTGGGATGAGTGAGGTACCCAGGCAGGTGAGCAAGACAGGCTTCAGATCTTACCAAGCTCAGCTGTGGTTTGTCAGGGAAGCCTCATTTCTGGCTTTCCTCTACTTAGACCATTGGGCCCGTTGAGTCTAGCACAATCATTTGATAAACGGGGAACTGCTGGCACAGGAGCAATAACTGACTTGGTAAAAGATGCACCTGTGTGGTGCCCAAAACCCCTGCCCATCTCACCTCTTGCCCCACTCTCATCTGATGTCAACCCAGTTGTCTAGCAAGGTAGGAGGCAGGTTCCCAGGGACCTGGTGACGCCCCCTACGCAAGCCTGGATGAGACCTCTTGAGTTTGTCTTCAGTGATTCCACTCCATTGGGCTCTCCACACTGAGCGCCTTCACCTTCCTCCCTTTGGAGTCCTCCCCATCTCCCTTCCCCTTGGTAGGCTGAACCCTAGCTAGGAGCTGGCCCCTGCTCCTTCAGGTAAGAGGTCGCAGTTTCTTAAAGGAATCTCAATAGGTATCAACAGTTGACACCTCCTTATAGCTATAACTATGGAATTATATCTTTCCTTAAGATTATGGATGTAATACCCCTTATTCAAAGATGATAGGCCCTCTGAGGATCCCTGAAGTTGATTCACTGGTGAAGCTCTGCCTGCCACCCAGCTGCACCTCTCAGAGGGGTGACAGGCCCCTTCACATCCCAGGGCATGGTTGCCTTAGCAGTCAGTGCAGACCAGCTTGTGTTAGCAGAGCAACAGTGATTATAAGGCTGGGAGCCTCAGATTCACTTAGGGGAAGCAGGCAAGTTTGTACCCTTTGAGCGCAGATAAGGAACTTGGGGTGTCCCTGTTCCCATTTGGGGAAAAAAAACTTCTAAGCTGGGTGCAGTAGTGTGGCCTATAGTTCTGTCCACATGGAGGTTGAGGTGGGTGGAGCAGTTGAGCCCAGGAGCTTGACTCAAGCCTGGAGCAAGAACCCTTATTTCAAACAAACAAACAAACAAAAAAAACCTCTAGATCTCAGGGTTCAGGGTTTTGGAGCAGTCAGTCTGCTATGGTTCTGAATCTTATCTCTGCCACTGATAAGCTGTGTGACCTCAGGTAAGTCACTGAACTTCTCTGAACCTCAGATATTTTATCTGTTAAAGGGGGAAATAATACCCACTAGGTGGTTAGGAAAATTGAATAAGGCAAAGTACATGATGCCTAGTCCAAGGCCAGCCAAAGGACTGGTTTGAGTTGGTGAAATGAATAGTCTAGAAAGGGAAGTAGGGGATGACTTGAGAACAAGTAGACCTGCTGGAGCATCCTCTATTATAGTGGTCCCCAACCTGGAGCAACCAAGGTCCCCTTGGTATCAAGGACCTATTTCATGATAGACAGTTTTTCCATGGACTGGAGGTAGAGGGGATAGTTTTGGAATGATTCAAGAGCATCACATTTATTGCGCATTTTATTTCTACTATTATTACATTGTAATGTATAATGAAGTAACCTTCAGCTCACTGTAATGCAGAATAAGTGGAAGCCCTGAGCTAGTTTATAGTTGGGTTCAGGAGGGTTCGTGCTCCTGTGAGAATCTAATGCCACCACTGACCTGACAGGAGGCAGAGCTCAGGCAGTGATAGAGATTGTTGAGGAACAACTGTAAAGACAAATGAAGCTTCACTCACCCACCACTCCCCTCCTGTTGTCTGGCTCGGTTCCTAACCGGTATTGGTCCTTGGTGGGTGCGGAGGACCACAGTTGGAGACCACAGCTCTATTGGAATGCAGGACTGAAACTAACCTCTTCACTGGTATAGTTTTAGGATCTAGGAGTTGAGCTTGACTCAGACACATGCATGGAGTTGAACAGAAATCAGATTCATACACAGGAAGGGCCTTGGGCAAGCCTCTGACCCAGCACCTTGCCACACCCATTGGTGCCTCAGTAGGGCCCAGGCTCATCTTCTGGTATAGCCACCTACCCTCTCTCAGTCCTCTCAGCAGTGAAATGAGGAAATCAGAGAGGGCTTGTGGAGTCTTAGCATTATCAGTACTTTATTATCTAGCTGCATAAAACTTGAGAAACAAACTAGGAGAAAATGTCAACTGGAAAGGCACAAGAGCTTTAAGAAGGAACTTCTGAAGACTGCAAAAGGGACTTCTGAGTCATTGGAGACACATGGTCCTGAAAAAAAGACACAATGCCGAAAAGGTGTTCTTTTCCTCCAAGTAGTTTCTAAATTTAAGTGCAATCAAAACCCTAATGGTGGCCTTTTTTTTTTTTTTTAAGTGAATATGACAAAGTTATCCTAAAATTCAGAGGGAATATTTTAAAAAGAATGGTACTATTGGGTGGCTTACCCTCTGGATAGTGACTTGTTTTACAAAGCTACAAAAATTAAAACAGTGTGCATAGGTCCCAGCATTCCATAGTGGATGAAACAGAACAGAACAGTCCCAAATGTATTCCTTGTAAGCACTAAGATTGTGGGGAAAGTAGCATTTCAAATCATTGGGGGATGGAGTGTCTCAGTCAATACTGGGACCCCCTAACCAATGAGGAGGAAAGATGGTTAGGATCCGTATCTCATATCTTATACCGGAATAGATTCCAGATGTGTTAAAACAATGAAATAGTCATCATCATTATTATCATTATTGTTTCCTGGATGCAAAAACTCATGTCTGAATGACATTCTTTTTTTTGAGACAGAGACTCACTTGTCACCTTTGGTAGAGTGCTGTGGAGTCATAGCTTATAGCAACCTCAAACTCTTGGGTTTAAGCGATTCTCTTGCCTCAGCCTCCCA